TAAAAAAATAAATATTTTTGACATATTTTTAAGGGCATTTTTGATTTGCAGAAGAATTTCAGCACAAATAACCGGATGACATATGCAGTATACAACAGATTTTGGCTAAAATTTCACTGTTTCAATAATTTAATGAAACTTTAAACATTTAAAAAATAATTAATTACCATGGCATTATAGTCTGTATTCTTTTTATTAACAAAACTTTTGGACCAGGACTACAAACAATTGGACCAGGACTACAACTCTGATTCTGCAGAGTCTATAGCAACTGCTTCATTGCCTACATTTGAAGACTGTTGTTGAACCTGATTCTATTCAGACATTGAATTATAATTCAATGTCTGAATCTAAATGTTGGCATTAAAGCAGTTGCTATAGACTCTGCTTGCATAGTTATATCTTCTTCAGCATTAGCTCCAAGTTCGTGCTCATTAACCTGGATTGCCACCTCGTTTGTAGAGACTGAGACTGTTGTTTCAAGTTCTGTGTCTTTCTTAACTTCAACATCAACTGCGCAACAAGGCACTGTATAATCTATAAAATACCTATACCTCTTACGTTTCACCGCACTAGGCCTAGGCCTAGTTTAATAATAGGTAGGCCATGATTAACTTGGCTACGCTAAGCCTCCCCTACCTCTTCTAGGCCTAGGCTTAGGCCTAGTCTCTTATTTGCATGTATTTTTTTTTCGCTTGCCAAAATTCTTATTTATATTATTCGAATTCTACAAATGTTCTTACCATTCTTTGGTTTTTTTACGATGCCAAAGGCAAATAAGCCTGTGGGTCGCTTCAGTTTATCTTTATCTTTATTAATATTAGACATTCTTCTTGTTAACGAACGGAACGATGAACTACACTCTTCCCCTATTTATTTTTGATTTGTTTTTGATGGGGGGAGACGGTCCGGGTTGACACATTCCTGACCAGTTTGGCGCATTCCAACTAAGTGAATGTACAGGCGCAGAACCCACAGAATTTCTCGCGCTTGTGAAATTCATAATCTGATCTTCGACTACGACGCTGTTGTCTGTCGCTGTCGTAAGAGTTATCCTTGCGATAACCCCGTGCCCCTTTCGAATTACTATCCCAAGCCTTATGATTACGACGCCAATCACTGGCGAAAGGATCCTGATCACCCCTGTTCCTATAATTTTTAATTTGGCTTTGATAGTAGAAGTTCCAAGACATTCTCAACAGTATCACAGAGAGACTGACGTGTCAGTTGATCATCTTCAGCTCGTCCCCGTTGCTTATACTTGATTTCAGTATCAAGCACATCATCAAACAAGGAGTGCACATAATCGTCAAACATCTTCAGATTTGAACATGAGCTGCATTCATCTTGCATCATACACCTTTCATCATCATCACTGCAGACAATTTTCTTCACAAACTCACTTGTGCTGTTTGTCATACCTGGAAGGCCTTCAAGAATGAGCCTGATGTTTTCATGGTATACACACAGGCATATGTTAGCTGGCGTTTCACTTTGGAGGCACACATGTTTATGTCTCAGATCAGCAAACTTAGACTTTCCGATTTTTCCGTCCGGAAAATCCTGTTTAAACTGGCTGTATGCCTCACTAATTGTCATGTTGAGGTATCGTTTCTGGACTTTGGTCTCTTTCATAGAAATTCAGAACATCTGTAAGGACATCATAATTTATATGTGCACGTTCCTTTTTCTTGGAAGGCGGCAGGAATGATTCCGGTGAAAACTTGACTACAAGCTTCTGAACAACTTTTCGGCATTTACGGGGGCTGGTAGGGAGTGCTGTCTGTGCCCTTTAACAGCTCTGTTGAGGGTAACCTTATGCATGTGAGGACTGGTGCTCTTATTTTGACAGGATCCAGAGGGTTGCTCAGCTTCCCTTCGTAGCTTTGCCCTACAAATGTACAAAACATACAATTTAAAACAATACAGCAAATGGAAAATTACTACTTGGAGGTCACATGGACAGTGGAATTGTAATCTTATTGACCCACAAATTTGTTGTGTGTGTGTGTGTGTGCGTGTGTGTGTACATGCGTGTTTGTCTCCAAAGTCTTTACTCCACCCCTTTTTTTTGTACAGTTTCCGTACCAACTCTTTATTATGCCTTTATATTTAATAATTTGTTATTTAAATTTTACATTTTATATATTGTGTAATTTTTTTCAATGTATAATTAGTTACATATTTCATATATCGTATTTTTATGTGCAATACCATACACCCTTTTAGACATATAATTTTTAACTGATGATTTTATACTTTGTAAACTGTCATATTTCAGTCTTCGGACTGCTTTGATCAGTGGATTTTTATAATAAACCGGAATTGAATTGAATTGATGCTCAACTACATTTGTGACTGATGGGACATTTGCAATCGGTCTAGTTTACATGGGACTATATACCAAGTTCACATCATAAATGTAAAACTGTGAATGCATACTCCAAGGGAGATAGACAAGAAAACCAAAAGAGTGATCTGGACCTAAAAAATTAGTAAAAGCTAGGGTGAAACAAACCAACTCACCTGTACTCAGCTTTGCGTTGGCATTCATATTCAGTTTTTTCCTTTTTCTGGGCTGCAGACATTGCAAGTTTTTTTTTGTTGTTCCCACTGCCTATTATATTCTGACTGTTTTTTCTTATAGTCAGCATACTGTCCTCCAGCTTTTAAGCGTTCTCGTCTCTCTCTTTGCCATTGTGCACAGCTTTTGGGTGGCATGGTTTACGAACTGTATGTGTGACTTACGGGACTTGTGACTTATGGGACTTTATTGTATGTCCTCCCAGTAGAGCTATTTCAAGTCCAATGCAGATGCAGCTTGATTTGTTGATGCAAGCATGTACTGTAGTAGATAAAAAAAGTCCAGTGCTTGTCTGCAGAAGTCTATGGCAGCATATGAGGGAAACTTAATGCTCAAAACTGTGACTTATGGGACATCGAACATTCACACATTGAAATGTATTCTGTGCCTCACCAATTCACTGCAGCATCTAAAACAATACAGCTAATGGAAAATTACTGCTTGGAGGTCACATGGACAGTGGAATTTTCCATCAGCACCCTTTGCATGCAAGGAGCCAAGGATGAGTGAAAGTTGTATACTTTCAATGAACTCTTAGTACCAAATTGCAACAGAGTGCACATTGTGTATTTTATGAATGAATGAGGGTATAGTAAATATTAGTGTGCTTTTGTGAATCTTAAACTGTATACTTATAAACAGTATAAACAAAATAGCTTAGAAAAGAAATTTAACAAATTGGAAAAATGCAACTTTTGGCTGGAATTGACCAAATACTTCTTTGTCTGTTTGGGACTTTAGGCACTCCTCCATTAAAAGTACACTGCCAAAGCAATCAACTTGCTCAGTAAATACTGAAAGAGAGTCTTTCCCTATACTGTGCATTAGTTTACAGGCCTTTGATTGCTGAGAACATCCCCATAATTTTTGCTCTGCATAAATGTTGTGCAATTTAGCAGACTTCTTTTCATTCTTCAGTTTCTCGTCAATGTCTAATGTTAAATACGAGTTATATTGTTGTTTTAAAACATCAACAGTGCTCTTGAAACAGGCTCCAAGCAAAGATGTAAATACTTCTTTGTCTGTTTGGGACTTTAGGCACTGCTCCATTAAAAGTACACTGCCAAAGCAATCAACTTGCTCAGTAAATATTGAAAGAGAGTCTTTCCCTATACTGTAGGCATGTAGGTCGTTGGGAGTTCGTTGATAAAATACAAGCATTTTTATTTGTTTGTGGTTTAATAATCGGCCGATAAAGTTGAAATTTCAAAAATTGAAATATGATCTCTTCAGAATTGACTAGAATATTTATTTAAATATTTTTGTAATATTTCAACTAAATTTAATCAAAAGTATACAAAATACAATTACATCTTACCCCTCCAAACAGTCTTTGGGCATCTCTTGCAAACTCCAAATTTTGCTTAATGCCCTTTTTTTGACCACATCCCATCATATGTCAACTCTACATCAAGAACATCATTAGTGGAAGCACCTTTAGTCTTTTCAGGCATTTAACTCCTTCGGCCATCTGCTCTTCACATGTTTATATTTGTTGCCTTTTAGATGCTCTTGATATGAAGGTTAGAACTGGTGGAGGCAACTAGATCCTCTAAGCCTTTTCTGCCAAGACCAACATCAAGGGCCACCAAGGTACTGCGTCGATTCTCAGATGCTTTTGGCATTTAATAGAGAAAATGAGAGTAAGCTGAGTACAGAATCCAATTTTCTTGCCTTCATCTTCTTCTATAAGGAAATTAGCTGCAAAATAGAGCAGAAATAATAAAAATACTAATCATACAACAGTTTTGCAAGTTCTAAATACAATACAGTGACACACCCCCTTTCACTCGCACCTCCCCCTTCCTTTCTCACTCACTGAACATGGCATGAGATCAGATGAGGAAAATAATTATTACCATAATGATAAAAAACCAAGGTTATTCATATGACTGTTTTGGGCTGAACACTGTAATTATAAGCCTAGGTCAGTTGTTTAATACATTTTCACAGTAACTTGGTCCTGCATTGTGGGCATGTAGAACTCATTCTCGCCCAAAAAATATGTGCCCACAATCTATGAATACGTCTTTTAATCGTGTAAAACACGGTCAACACGTGTAAAACACTGGGCATCTATACTTTTACGGTATTTTGTAACTTTTCTATTTAAAATATCTTTTCTCGCAGCCTGTTCTGGCCTCGCAAGCGCGTGCGCTGCGCCTGATATCCAGACAGCTAACCTCCAAGAAGACGAGTTTTGTACTGTAAAACTTTATTCTTGATCGTGACGTTATCTTTAGTGGTAAAAAGGAATGCTTCCTCATGAATAGCAGATTAACTGAGTGTTGTAAAGTCGAAAATACACTTTGTTGTCAAATTCCACCCAAAGCTTGTCAAGATTTCTGTGCAGATTCCTGTATTTCTTACATTGGTATATGCATAGTTGCTTTTCACTCACCAAAAGCATAGCACTTTCACCAGCCTTGATAAGTCGTGGAGAAGGGGGATCATCTTATACAAGGTGAGGTTTCCTGTTTGAGCAGCATTGTTTAGGGCCTTGTGCCATCCTTCTACGTAGTTGTTTGTTCTTATGGACTGTTTGAACCCGGACTATTTCGATGGGGGCCATAGATCAGATGAAATCCAAGTTGACTCCACATAGACGAAGAACTGAAAATAAAAAGTGTAAAAAAAAATGTCATGACTGTCACTATGTGACTCTGTTGATATTGAAAAAGGCAGTTCCCACCTCTCTGATTTATGGACGTACGTAACTACATTCAATAGTTTGACAATAACAGGTTTCATTATAATTATTTTTTTTGTTCAGGTTAGATTATTAATTACTATATATAATTAATATATGCTGTAATTGCAACTTTATATGTCGGCCTATACGGTAATCATTATAAATATTAATAATTATCCCTATTAAATATGAAATAGAGTCAACAGAAAAAAATATTTTTATTATTTCAAATACTGGGCAGAATGCCAGGGCGAATCATTTCTGCCATCTCCTATACACCATAGATAAAATAATTACTAAACATATAGATGATATGTAAATCAATGTAATTAAAATAAAGAATAATGGTGGAGGGAAAAAATAAAATTTATATGTCTACCACACCTCTTGTTTTGACATACCCTAAATTATAGATACATTTTCATATAGAGTATATTTATTTAAAAAATATTTTTTATTATACCATTAACAACATCCTGTCCTGTGTATTTTTCCGTGACGTCATTTTCTCCCCAATGTCGGGCAGACATACTGGTGTTGAAGCCTATAATATGTCCTCTTTGAGACGTATCCCCATCTACATATACCGGGTAAGTTGAAAAGATGCTGAATCTTGGAGAAGTTGTTACCACTTAGCAAAATATTTGAGCAGAGCACAAAATCTCATAAATTGATATTACGAATCCTTGGTTGGGACTGCCATTTCTGAGTTTCATGGCCTGCTGCACACTGCTGTAAAATTAAGTGATTAATTTCCAAAAATTTATACTGCAACAAAAGAAATGCTATTGATAATCATTTACTGTAGTCATAACCCACCCATTCTTATTTTTAAAAAATAACATAGTGGAAGTGGTTTGGCGTAACAGGAACGGTTTGGTTTCCCGACTTTCAGGTCGGGGTTTCAATGCCCCAATCTGAGACTTGCAGTAGTTGTATAGAGTGCTATATAAAAACCTACATATTATTGTTATTATTAACATAACATAAAAGTAGAAAAATGTCATGTACTGTTAATAATTGTTCATAGAGTACATACCCATTTTCTTGTAATGAAGGTGGATAACATTTCTGATTTTGAAATACGTCTTTACCACATTGTTGACATATTTTAACTATATTCATATTGGCTAACTGCAACAGTTTTCATACAGTATGCAATGCCACAATTTAAGTTGTTGGTTTGCTCTTTTGTTTCTATCGATATTGATCCTTGTGTAGCACGTACTACTTCTTCATCTTCTTCCTCCTCCTTCTCCTCCTTCTGCCCTTCCTCCTGTTCTGTCAAAAGACTGTCTATGTCGATTTGGCTGTTGAGACTATACAGGTGCAGAATATCAAAACTACACTTTAAACATACAGTACTGTATATCATCATTTTGGGGTTTATAAAAAAATATACTGTAGGTTAAAATCAACATTTGTATTCAGTTTCATTTACATTATGCATTATTTACCATGTACTGTACAAGCAATAATTAATTGGTTAATACAACTTACAAAATTATTATTTTTTATCTACAGTAATGTTAATGCTAAATAATAATTCTAAGCTGTACTTGATCATAATTTATCTTATACTGTGAATATATATGAAAACACTAACACTAAATACATTTCTAACTGATAGTCATCCATATCTTCTTCTACTTCCCAAGTAGGGTCTTTTGCTTTTAAACTGATATCTCCTGATGAGTAGTCTATTTCAGTTGTATACCTAATATAAATGCAAAGAAAATACAAGAAAATGAAGACAATGGCACTGCCAGCTGAGTTCCTTGATGGTAAATGATCTTCTGTCATTTCAACCTTTACACAAGAGCACACATTGTACAATGTAGCAATGATGAGGTAAAAGTGCTTTAAATCAGTTGGGTGTGTGCACTTACTTGAATTCTTATGTTATCTTCCCCAAAAGCACTCTGGGGAGGCCAATTTTTTTTAACTGTGTTTGTCTTCATGTTGTCGTTGTCACTGTCGTTGGTCATTAGATTGTTACCACGATAAATAAAATTTGTTAAATCGATTAGTTTCAAACTAGGCATAATTTTTTTTGTATGTGTGTAATTATGCTATTGCTAATTTGGAAATTTGGAACTTATTGGAAAGTTTAAAAAAAAACAAAAAGAAAAGAAATTATTGATCGTCCAAAATGCCTTGGAGGTTATTATCAGGCATCTAGAAAACAACAAATTCTCGAGGTTATATCCCGGGACCCCTTAGGGTAGTGTTATTTTTGGACCTCTCTGTAATTGCCTCTGGAGATACTGGGACCCCTACCACCAAGGGAAAGGGGATGAGTTTTGCAGGGCCTTGCAAGTGTCAATGTTAACTAATATATTTTATACATGAAAGTACAGGCAGAAACACATTTTTTTTTTCTATTGTTATTGTTAATTCTAAATAATTAGTTCTGTAACACAACATGTCCCTATATAAAATGCTGGTCATTACTGTTAATTTCAAAGTGAGGAAACTAGTAAGTAATACATTTAACATAATTTCAAGAAAACTGATATATTATTATATAATGTACATGAAGGTTGGCTGATACCCATTTTTTTTCTATTGGTATTGCAATTTTATTATTACAAAATAATTAGTTCTGTAACACAACATGACCTTATATGATATGGTGGTCATTCTTTTTTTTTTAATATCAGAAGAGGAAACTAATAGATAATACATTTAACATAATATAAAAAAACTGAAATATTATATACATTAAGACTGTCTGAAGCAAGCCACAGTTTAGTAAGAAAAGTTTTCACATAAAAGTGAACAAATTGTCAAAATGTGTCATATATACGGATTGTCATTTATTTGTGTATATAAAATGATTTTAATTTATATACTGCAAACATAATTATGTGTTCACAACTAGTACCAAGTCTGTGCACAAAAAGAATGATGTGTAAATTAAGACGAACATTATATGTCTACTGTCGCACTTAAGCAAGTCTTGTGTTATGCTAGGTCAATTAGATATATTCAAGTAAATATATCTGAAGTTAGATTTTGTCAGAAAGAAACACTCTTTTAGGATGATATGACATGACATTTTTATGCCCATATATTGGCAAATGACACATGTTAAATGTTCACAATGTGAAATCTTGATATAATACAGAAAGTGTTTGCTAAAGTAACATTTCATGAAACATGCAACAGTTCATGTTGAGTATACACAATGATCTGAATGTGTACGCGTGGACAATGCGTCATTTTCTAAATATGGAAAAGCTAATCTGATTTTAAAGTCAGGCTCCGGAGGGAAAAAAAATTTTGATATGTTGCAGGACTGATTTTTCTAGGACAGGAAAATGTAGTTTGATCAAAAACTGAGCAACAGTTTTTTTTATCAAACAACTTTTTTCTGTCTTAAAAAAATTAGTTCTACAACATATCAAAAAATGTTTTTCCTCCGGAGTTTGACTTTAAAGCCCTCAAGGATTTTAAGGGCAGCATGCTTTTTAGGGTTTTTTTTTTTTTTTTTTTTTTAATTTTGAGGTTTATTTTACATTATAATGATGATTTTTTTATTATAATGACAACAAGTTTGACATTAATGTCTATAAATCAATGTCAATATTAGTGATGACTGTGTTGACGCTTGTGATGGTACATCTTTGTGGTAATTTGTCGGTAAATTCGGCAGTTGAGCAGCCTGTTTGAGTGAAGAGTATGTCCTTCTTGCATAAGAAAGACTTGTCCTCATCGGTGATCAGGAATATATTGGTTCTGTTGGGAAAATAATTAGGAATTAATATCATATGGAATGTAGTTCATTTTAATGTGTGTTTGCTAATGAGGTTGATAATGACAATGTATTGTAGTGCTGTGTGAACAGAGAACAGAGATGTTAAAAAGTGTTTGCGTGGTACTACATATAAATAGTATCCAAACCAATGTTGGCAGAGGGTGGGGAAAACTATTACATACAATATACAGCAGGTATGGAAAACCAGGTTTTATGCATTGTCGTATGGTGATTTAATGATTTAAAGCAAATAATGGTTGTTTCATGAAGTTTTTGTCTAGTGAATTGCAAGAATAATCACCTATTGTGCAGGTGTGTGAAATTCTGAGCTCTATATAAGTTGAAAATGGCAATTTTGTATGGGAATCGTTTGCTGACCACGGTATTGAAGTGGGGCCTACGGAAATATGACCATTTCTGTTGTCTTTTAGATTTATTTTCGCATATTGTAATATTCTTAATGATAAGAATTTTGTTTGGAACTAATATGAATGAATGGTGCAATCTCTCACAGTTGGGTTGTTTTAAATACTTACTCACCTTCGTCAATGCCAATGATGGTGTAGGCATCAGAAATGGGATCTATGTTTAGTGCCTGAACCTGTGGCTATCAATTATCTGCAGCCACACAACAAGGTATTGTTTGGTAACAAAAGACCTTCCTATGGTCGATTTTGATTATATCAATATGCTAGGCTATACAATTCATCATTGATTTTGACAAAACGCAGAAATAAATAATAAAAAGCATTGAGGTATTTCTTTGTTATCATATACTTTATTAATTTATAATAATTTGTAGCAAATCATATCTAGGTTCTTCCCTGGAGCTACCCTTCCTTCGTGGACTCATTGCTAGGCTTATGTCAAGCAAAACACAGCTTTGGAAATATTTACTTAAGTACTTAAGGAAATTACAATTAAACAAAAATTATGAAGTGTAACATACACAATTTCAAGTAATAAACCTTCCAACACTCACCAGGACCTTTTCCATTTGCAAAATATTCCGAGCTCCAAGACTATATCCGATAGTTGGGTGTAGATTTCTTATTTGAATCCCACCGCTGCTACCATCTGTGACGATGCCCAGTAGCCCAGTCTGGAAGCAAATATAATGATATACACATGTATACACTGTAGCGTAAAGTTTCTACGTTCACTAATTTAATGTTCAAAAATGTAGTAAAAGTGTAGCTGAAGTCACACTTGGCTGGTACTTTACTTAGAGTACATGAAAACATGAATACAACCCAAGGCGCCCTTGGATGGCGTTAACTTACTTGGGTGTCCAAGTGTCAACTGCTTCTAAATCCTACAAGCATACTAAAGAAACTTCCCATTATTGTTATCTATTCTAATTCAAACCACATCCCTTCCGTTCCCATACAAATTCTTCTCATTATCTTTTTATACCCGATTCACACGTGAGTTCAAGTTCAACAAAACATAATAAATTGTAACCGAGCCATCTCTCGAGTTATTCCTACTGAGGTATAAAGCATTCACACACGTCTGTAAGGTACATCTTGCCTCTGCCCTTCAAATTTATTCAATGATTCATTTTTCCCCCATTGTGATATAGGCCTAGGCCTAGTTGAGAACCCCTGTCATGGATGGACTGTTGAAACTCACCATCACAGTAAACATTTGAAGCAATCAATGCCCTTAACAACTGCTGTACTAATACTAGCTTTCCGATGTTTCAGTTGACTCTTGATAATATTAGTAATTTAATAGGCCTGTAAGCCTAGTACCAATACCATCCCGACGTTCATTTATGTATCTTCTTCTCCCATTACTAATTAACATCGATAACAAGGGTAATTAATTTATTAATCATTAAAAAAAAGTAGGCCTACCTATCAGCTGCTATCTATTTCTAGTGGATCGGAATCGACTGCAGAATAAAGAAAACAAAGAACCTCACGAAACACAGTAGATTGTTGTTGTGTTGAAATTCCTGCGCATGCGCAGATCCATCCATGCTACATCTCGGAAGCTTTACCAGCCTTAGTGAGGCTGGTAAAGATTACTGAGACATTCCAAGATTTTACAAGGATATTACACGGAGGTACTTTCACACATACTGTAAAATGTTACTTTTGGTTACATTTGGTAAGTATTTTGTACGTGTGAATCAGCTATTATTTACAATCTAGTCCCAGTCATTTCCCTTCTTGTACCAACACAATTGACATGTAAAGATAAATAAATAACAATTTCCAAAATAATAATAATAATAATAATAATAATAATAGTAATGTCATTTTGTTAGGCGCACATATCCATCCCTGGTAGGGGTGCTCGTTGCGCCGTTTTCCACCTGCCTTGTGTACATGTAGCCATTTTCCGCATTATTATGTGAATTAATTAATTTTAATTATCTATTTAATCTTAATGTATATTTATTTGTGTCAGACCAGACATGGATGGGAAAGATAGGCAAAATAAGATGCAAATACTCTTTGGGGTCACCATCCATCACCACCCTGGCGCAATC